GAAAACCCATTGGTTGTCTAGTAGGTGAATCCAAGAAATCCAGAATTTACCCGAAGTTGAATTTTCTAACCCAACACCATTTTTAACACCATATTTGGTGTAAACAATGGGTTTACACCATTTTAGTGTTGAATTTTTTTATTTATAAAAAATCTTTCAAATTTTAGTTAATTCTAAAATTGATGAAAAACATATATAAATGGTGATGGCTAAACCAAAATCTAATATGTTTGGTGATAGTTAAACAAAAATTTAACATATTTTGTTATTTTATATGTTGCAATGTACTCTATTTATATAATAAATTTAAAATTTCAATTATTTCATAATTTTTTAAACTTAAAAAAAAAAGATGGGGTCAGTTTAAATATTAAAGAATTAGAATAGAGAATATGCTCAGTATATTCTTTTTTGGTGTAAAAAATAGTGTAATACACGGGAGTAAAATTCATCACCATTTTGATGTAAGAAATGGTGTAATACATTGGAGATGTAACTACGATTTTTAAGTTTTTTTTTGCCCATAACGATAACAATTCGTTGAGTAATGGTTTTTTTTTTTAAGTAACAATAATTGAATTTGATGATTGTAAATAGAATTTGATAACTTGAGTTATGGCTTAATAACTTGATCCATTTTTTAAATTTTGATCTCTTTTTAATGTATATATTTAGCACCTAAATTGTCCAGATAAAGAAATTTAGTTTGGCATAATCATAACCAAGTTGAACTGCTAATGGACTAATGATATGCGGAGAAACTATTGAACACAAAGATAAGTAATAGTTATAATTAAAGAACTGTGGCATAGAAACGTAAGAATCTATGATAAGAAAGGGGGGGGGGGTATGAAGTAATATATTTTATTCGAAAATGATTATTTTGAAATGCCATTTGACCAAAAAAAATAAAGAAATACCAAAATAAAAAGCTCTATTATCTATACGGAAAATTATATGTAAATAGTTGTAATTCACAAGCTAATAATAAGATAGACAGTGAAATTTATTTTTGATGAACATGCCATAGATATAGTTTCTGAACAATATTTGAATGAGTTATAAAATAATATTTTTCTTATTCCTGAAAGAAATTTTTTTTTGTATTTTTAAAAATATATTGTTTCACGCACACAACGCCGATAATCAAATGATATGAATGAATACAATTTATTTTAATGAGTTCTTAGTATTTGGTTTTAAACTTTTAGTTTTAAGTTTTTTTTTTTATATTGTTTGGCTGTAAGATTTTAGTTTTAAAAGTCCAAATAAAATCTTTTGTTTTTTTTTGCATAAAATGGTAAAAAGGGTAAGTTGAGGAAAAAGACCAAGGAAGGAATAGAAAAAAAAAGTAACAATATTATACCTTTTAAAAAGACCAAAAAGGGGTAAGTTGAGGAAAAAGACCAAGTAGTAATTTTTCTCTATATTAGGGAAAAAGTTAGAGCAGTTTTCTTCTCATTCCAAACCAAAACAACTGGGAAAGATTACATACCTTTCTTAGCTTTATTTCTTTGAAGTAGCTGAAAATACTTAGCAAAATACAATGTAAAATGGTTTACAAGTCATAACGTAAGAAAACATAATTTCTTAAGTTTTTAGAAAAAACTACGTACAAACCTTAAAACTCGAATGGTTTA